GGGATTTGAATATAGGACTTTGCACTTGCTATACCAGCTGTACTCCTGACCTATATCCCAAGCCCTTTTTTTTTTTTTTTTTTTTTGAGACAGGGTCTAGCTATATTGCTTTGACCAGATTAAGAGACTCCAGGAGAGGTGATTAGATCATAGGGGAATGTATACATCAGTGAATACTATTGATGTTCATACCTCAGTGTGTTGTTATAAGGTGGGGCTTAATTGGATGTGGGTCCCAGTTGGAAGTGGAGTTGTGCCTTTGGAAGGTGTATCTTTCTTTCTGGCTCTTCCCCTGTGCTCTGCTTCTTGGCTAAAATGGGTTAAACTGTGTTACTACACCAGGGTTTTCTGCCATGCTGTTTAGCCAGCTGGTAATAGACTGAAAAGCCGAGAGTGTCAGGTATTTTGTCCCAGCAACAGAAAAGCTGACTCAAACAGTTGTCCTTCCTGACCTTGTACTTGCGGCTCTCCTCCTGCCTCAGCCCCCCGTGATTCTTTCTCTCTCATGGAAGTCTGTTTGATATATATACTGATTTATAATTTACTGAACCACCAGATTATAACTGTATTAATTAAGTTCTTTTATAGTGGTGATTTATTTAGCCAGAAGAGAATCTTGTCACTTCAACATCTGTATTGGAAGAGCTATGTTTCTATTTTATAGCATTTTATGGAGAATTTATATTCCATGATGTTATTCACCAATTTCATCCTTACCAATATCAAGGGTATGACATAGATTACTTTTAAATTGTCATAATTTGACTAAAAGCAATGTATAGAACAGGTTAGATAAATTTAAGATTTTTCTTCCTTTTTTTCTCTCTTTGTCCAGCCCCAGCTTCAGTAGATTTATAGTCTTGTTCATTTTATCTTGGGCCAATAGAAAAATAGGTGATTTGGGCTTTCTTGATTATTTGCCAAACTAGCCAACTAATGTTAAGAAACATTACCTGAGTTTGATTTAGCTCCTTCTGAAGAGTTTGCATTTATAAAAGAAATTGGAATATATATATAT